GGAATATTCACTCACCGGGGTGATGCTTCTATGCGGCTTGGGCACTAAGTTGCTGCAACTTCTGGAAGACACTCTGGGGTAGACTCTCTGGGGCCCCAGCCTTTCTTGTCCGGTGATACGTCGGGAGAGGGATTCCTGGAGCTCGACTGCTTCAGGCTAAGCGGTTATACTAGCGGTGCGCGTGGGCAATAGCCCTTCTATTACACTATTGTCTTAAGCGGTGTGGTTCCAACGACGAGCGCGGCGGGAAGAGAGTGCGCATCGGCCGCGCGTGCCTTTTTATTCCTTCGGTTGCGATGATCGCGTAATATTCTAGAATCATTTTCTTTCCCCTCCCACCCCACCACCCCCATGTGTCGATAGGAGGGTATGAATGATATCGTTTGGAAAGGGATAAACGATTTGGCAAGCCTACCGTCAAATATAAATAAGACGAATGGTTTTTCCGCGCAACCAATTATAAAAATTTTTTTTTATGAATATTTTAAAATTTGCAATTGCAGCTGCTAACCCTATTTAAATAAACTATTATAACTTTTAAACTGAATATCCTATCAACATGGAATAAATTTTTAAACGACTGTTAATAATAAGCCGTGCCAATAAAGTAAAAATTTCCAAAAAATGAACGTCATAAAATTAGAATAGAGGTTTTTGATAAAAATCTGGGTTTTTTTTTCATCATTTTTTCAATAACTTTAAAATGTCTCGAAAAATTGTCTCCTTAATCCTACTTTTTTTAGTCTTATGTTATTCTACATCATATTAGCTTTCTAATGGTAAAAAATGCATGTGTGTAATGCCGTCGATGAAATTATGTGCAGTTTCTAGTTTCCCTGGTTTTGATATGTGCACTTTATAGACTCAGACTGTAGATATATATATATATATATATATATATATATATATATATATATATATATATATATATATGCAATGTGTCCGGTTTCCGATGTCCGATACTTTAAGGGGTTAAAATACAATTAATTTTATCGACAAATCAGGGATCAATGATTTTTTTCGCCATCAATAAAAAAATGGCAGCACTTTAAAAAAAAATGTTGGCGAAGCATAGATGCTTGTATTAATTTAACAATATCTACCCAAGTAGAAGACTTTCAAAAGCAAAATTGGTCTCAAATGTTAGTTAATAGTGTAGACAATGGGTGCGTTTGGCAGAAAAAAGCGCTAGCAAGCGCTTGTAAGCAAAATGGCGATCGTAAGCGGTAAGCGCTGTCAAATCGAAAGTAGCTATTTTCCTCTAGGACACGAAGTTAGTTTTAAGCGGGGGACCTAACCTAATTTAAATATATGTTTGTAAAGTATTCATATTAAAAACTTGTCTATTAATGTCATTGTATTACTTAAAACTAATATTGCACAAAAAAAACCTTATAAACTCTACTTCAAAACAAACAAATTAAATAAGCAAAATGGCGGATTGTGTCAGCGCTACTGAAGTAGCAATCGTGTCCTGGCCGAAAACTATTTCAGCGCTTGTAAGCGCTTGCTAGCGCTTTTTTCTGCCAAACGCACCCAATAAATCTAGATTCAAAATATTATTTTTTAATTTTTCGGTATTAGTAAAAAACATTTTTGAAAAAATAAATTAGACAACAAATTGATGTTGTTTTTCAGATTCTTAGCTTTAAAAAAAAAACCATCGTGTTAACCAATTTTTTTTACTTGTTATTATTATAATACGTATTTGCTAACATGGATAGTTTAGGAGCTATGACAGTGTAAACATACTTATTTGAAAAGCGCGGATACACTAGCAAATGAAATAAAACAAAATAATTTATATCAATTGCATTTAATTTGGCAAAATAATTACAAAAACTGCTCAAAGTTACCTCCTTGTCTCTGCAGACATGCTGTTGCTCTTAGTGCAACGTGTTGCGTAGAGCGCTGGATCATTGCCTTGTCTACTCTCAATTCGTTTGCTGCTTGAATTATTTTTTCTGCTAACTCCTCTCGTGTATTTGGCACATTTACATACACTCTTTGTTTGAGTGTGCCCCACAAAAAAAATCGAGCGGTGTTAAATCCGGCGACCGCGGTGGCCAAGCAATTGTTCCTCCGCGTCCGATCCACGATGAATAGTGTGCATTTAAATGATTCCGCACAAGAAGCGCGAAGTGTGCCGGAGCACCATCCAATTGCAGAATCATTCTGGCCCTGTAGGCCAATGGTAACTCCAATAAAGCATCCAAAAAATTCGTTTCCAGGAAATTTAGGAATCTTGGGCTATTCATTGTCTCCGGTAAAATGATTGGTCCAATTAGAATGTCGTCAATCATTCCGGCCCAACGTTGACAGAAAATTTATGTTGAAAAGAACTTGGGCGGATCGCATGTGGATTTTCTTGAAGCCACAGGTGTTCGTTACGGTAGTTCGTATACCCTGATCGCGTGAAAGTAGCTTCGTCTGTCCACATAATTCTTTTTAAAAAGTTTGGATCATATCGCGTTTCTCTCAATAACCACGAACAAAATATTGATCTTCTTACATAATCCGGTTCCGGTATTTCTTGCACCCTTCGAAAATGGTAAGGATGTAATCCTTCTCTTTTTAAAATTTTCCACACCGACCATTTTGATAGACTGAGACGATTAGCTATGCGTCTAATGCTCAGGCTAGGGTCTTGAGTAATCATTTGCAATATTTGATGTTCATCTTGGAGCGACAAAACACGAGTACGTTCGTTACCGAGCCTTCTTATTCCATTTTCCGCAAGTCTCAAATGAATTCTCACGAAAGTGCGAGCATTCGGCGTACGTCTGTTAGGAAATCTGCGTGCATACTCTACAACAGCTCTATTTGCACTCCCGTTACACAATCCATACACGAAATGGATGTCAGCGATATGCTGGCTTGAGTACTCGTTCATTGTAATAAACAAAAAGTAACAGTTCAACAACAAAACAAAAACGTAACAAAGTCTAACAACAAACAATAATTATGTACAGTAAGTAGATTTACTTAAAACCAGGAATGTTATCACAACGCAGAGCTAGGGACGACTGCTCGAGGGCACAAGCGCACACTGCACTCTTTTTACCTGGAGACAGCCGTTATTCTGTCCCGCTCGCACTGTTGTGCACAGCGTTTTTTACCTGCTCACACAAAAGATGCTATTGTGCTTGCTTACGATTCCTTGAATTATTGAAGAATTTTATCTTACTCACTGGAATGGGTGTTTAGTTATCTAATATCGGGGTAGAGGCACTTTGAACAGTTACATTCAAATTATCATAGCTCCTAAACTATCTAACTCAGAGTTAAGATTTAAATGTGCATTTATAGCAAATATCCTGTATTATAATAAAAACAAGTAAAAAAAATTGGTTAACACGATGGTTTTTTTTAAAGCTAAGAATCTGAAAAACAACATCAATTTGTTGTCTAATTTATTTTTTCAAAAATGTTTTTTACTAACACTGAAAAATTAAAAAATAATATTTTGAATCTAGATTTATTTTCTACACTATTAACTAACATTTGAGACCAATTTTGTTTTTGAAAGTCTTCTACTTGGGTAGATATTGTTAAATTAATACAAGCATCTATGCTTCGTCAACAATTTTTTTAAAGTGCTGCCATTTTTTTATTGATGGCGAAAAAAAATCATTGATCCCTGATTTGTCGATAAAATTAATTGTATTTTAACCCCTTAAAGTATCGGACATCGGAAACCGGACACCCTGTATATATATATATATATATATATATATATATATATATATATATATATATATATATATATATATATATATATATATATATATATATATAACAAACTATAACAATAAAATAGTAGTAAACCACCGCACTACTCTTCATCGTAATGACGTCACTGTCACGTCTGGACGACAACAGCGTAGCTGACCTTCCTTTTTGAAACTTTCTTAGAGATGTAGCCGTGTCACACGTTGTGTATCGATTTCGAAATCGATCTAACCAAAATATACAGAGATCGACTCAAAATATTTTATGTGTCGGGGGAGGCGTAGGCCTAGTGAAGCACAGAAGAAAAGACAATCATTTAAATGTGACAAAGTGAATAATGCTATATCGAAATTAGTGCATTGGTTTAACGTTAATAATCTACATTTAAACGGCAATAAAACTAAATGTATTAAATTTACAACAACAAATGTTAATAATCCGAGTACCAATGTGTTTTTAAATGGGGAAGAACTGAGTCCTGTTGAGTCCTCTGTTTTTCTTGGCATCACTCTCGACGCTAAGCTTTAGTGGGCCCCCCATATATCTAAACTAGCAAGCAGACTAAGCTCTACAGCTTATGATTGATGAAAAAGATTAGAGATCTCACTAATGTCGAGACAGTTAGTTTATTTCAGTTATTTCCATAGCATAATGTCATATGGAATTTTGCTATGGGGGAATTCGGCTGAATTAGAAACTATTTTTGTTTTGCTGAAGAGGGCCAGTAGAGCTATTTACAATCTTAAACCGAGTCTCTTACAGAAAAATTTAAAGAAATAAATATATTAACTTTTTGATAAATGCTGAAAAAATATATTAACCATTGAGAAATAAAAATGAAGAGGTTTATCTCTGGACTGATTTAATTATTAGGAAAGTTGTTAATAACATAAGTACTTATTATTAATCCTTTAAGATCCTTTATTAAAGGATTTTTGTTTTACTGGCTTACCAAAAATACCTGATAATATCAAAATGTAAGTAGTATTTAAGTAGTTGTTAGTTAGATACTCGAACGGTAGACTAAACGCTCGCAAATATCGATATTATAACGGAACATCCCTCTTTTGTTGTAGGTATCTATTTTTTGATTCATCTGCCGGGGGCACTGGGGGCACGACGACTGATTTGACGTCGGGCGGTTAAAGGGTTAAAAAAGACTAGATTATGCTTGTGTGGTGCTGAGGCCTTCAATAGTTCCCACTTTAATGATCCGTGTACAAGTCTATAAGAATCTGAATTTTATCATGTTGTTTCAATGATTCCAGAATCCATCTGTATCCTGAGGGCAAACACAATATTCATATTCGGTATGCTGAAGATTTTAACAAGAGAGTCGAAGAATTTTTACTCTTACCCTCCAGTTGAATGTATCATGTTCATAATGCTACCGACTAAAGTTTTTTAGCTATTTTTATTAAGTATAAGTTAAATGCATTTAAAAGTTTTATAAGGATTAAACAAAGAAATCAACAAAATTCCCATGTTTTATTTTCATTTACTTCTTATAAGCATGTTTCATTTTTAGAATAAAACAATTTACATTCGATAACACATAATTTAAGTGAAGTGACTCATTTATATCATACTGTACAAATTAAAACTCGTCTGCGGATTAACGCAAACCTGCCTCTATTACGGTGCTACACCCATGGCGGTATTTGTTCTGTTGTATCAATTATTAACGTTACTAATTGCGCTACACGTTAAAAATAAAGGTTAGTTAAAACAAAACATATTGTGAATATTTTCAACAAACAATCGAATGAAATAAAAGATTTTTGAACACGAACAGGACAGTCACATCCTTTTAAATTCAAACAATACAAATTAAATCTCAACAAAAAGAGTACCGTTTTAGTTTATAAATAGCTATTGCACCCTCAACACGAAGTTGAGTTATCAAAATCTGATTCTACCATGATAAATATATACTTGTAAACCGTTTAATACAAAAGTTAAGGCACACACATGAGCTAACGTCCTGTTGACAGAATGGAAGCACTTTTCAATAATGACATCACATACGGCAATTTCAAAAATACGACTGTTAATGACTTCATAAGTTATGTTTTACAATTATATAAACAAACACACATTTATAAGCGACCTATCTCGATAAATACATAAGAAAATATAGTGAAGAATCATTCACTACTTCATATGCTTGTTCTTATTTCATAAATAATTTCTCTAGTTACAAAAATAGTATACAGTGAATGGAACATTAGACAACTCGACGCGTGGGGCGACGATACAACGCGGTCTAAAAGCACCATAGTAACCCAGGCTATGTACTACTGTGATCCATCCATTACACATATATTACAATAAGATTACTCTTACAAAATACATAACGATACAATATTACAACATTATCACCGGGATTATTAACAATACGGTTTTAAGATTAAAATTTAAATACGTTACATTCATTATGTTTACAAAAAAAAAAAACTAGTGTAATATAGAGAGTCAAAGGCACACACTTGGTAAAAATCCTACAAGTTAGTCTCAGTGTTTATTTTACCACTGTCGTACTGGCTCACACGTAAACTGGCCCCTGGCTGTCGTCGTCGAGGTTGATTTTATTCGTGTAGCCGTCGTCAAAGAATCTTCGGAAGGTGAACTCAAAGAAACCATGGAACGTCTTTCCATTGTCCAGCAACTCGCTGTCAGACTTGTTTGAGTCTGAACTGCCAGAGTTCCTCAGCTTATCGGGGTCGATTGGGTCAAAGTTTGAAGTATCAGTGGGGTATTCTATTCTGGGTATATACGGCGCCACCTGTCTCCGAAGACCCTTTTCGAAATCTATACTCTTTAGAAAGGGATGATTCTTGACCTCATTGGCGTCTTTCCCGAGCCTCGTATCTTGACCCGAGCAAAGTTGGAGAATGAGATCTTTGCTCTCACGTGACAGGTTTGCCGCGTCTGGGATGTGAAGAGTGCTCTCCCAATTTATAACCTAAAAATCACAATTCGTATAAATTTAATAGTTATAGATAAAGTAGTTATTAAAATAAAATAGTTCAACGATTTCAATTTAAAACATTGCTATTAAATAAAAAACCCTTTCGGCCATATTATAGAACGAGGTTTATTGCTAATCTCTGGTATAAACTGGTTTTAAGAAGTCGTTCACAAAAAAGTCCCTTAGAAGCGGTACCACTGCGAAATGGGATGTTTTTTATCTAAATTCATACTTAAATTTTAGTTCGCATATTTTCTGCAGTACTTTTTTTACGATACTAACTAGTCTAACCTGAAACTACTTTTTGTAATAAAACGATATCGGACGAATTTATTACACGTTTTTATGAAATATTCTTCGTTTCATGAGATCGTTCCATCAGTAGACGCGCAAAAATCAACTTATTTTATAGACTTATAGGAACACACTTTGTAAAAATCCTACAAGTTAGTCTTAGTTTTTTTTACCACTCGTACTGGCTCAAATGTAAACTGGCCCATGGCTGTTGTCATCAAGGTTGATTTTCTTAGTTTAGCCGTCGCCGAAGAATCTTCTAAAGGTGAACTCAAAGAAGCCATGGAACATCTTTTCATTCATTTATTGACTGGCTTCCTTCATTGTTCTGATACTGGCTATAGTAGCTCAGGTGCTAAGTGCTCCTCTTTCATTTTAAAGTACGAGAGCATCTTAGCTTTAATACCCGCTAACACTTACGAAATAAAATTTTTAAGTGCTGATTTACCTCATGAAGGAAAACATCGTGTAGATGTCTAAAAAATAATAAAGTATTTAAGGGTATGTGAACTCCGCTAACAGGTATTAAAGCAGCCCGGCGGACAAATTGCTTAATAACCCTCTGAAATATAAGAAGTATGTGACAGCGTTGGGATGTATATAGGTTGTATTTTACATCTTCGCATGGGATGAAAATATTAGATTTTGCCTATGAAATCGCAGTTTTGAATAACATACGTACGTACTCGTATGTGGACTGAGCGCTGCTAACGAACGAACTGGAGTTATTGGTTCAATCGCTCTTGTTAGGAAAATTTTTACCTCACAAATGAATCTCATGGTTGGTGGTTGACAAAAAGTATGATTGCCTTGAGACAGTAATGAAATCAGATCAGTCTCAATACGTGGCTGAGCTTGTGTCGACTTTTGAAGTGTCAAAACAATATTAGATCATTTGCGGCAAAAACGGTAATATAAATACCTAACAAATTGAATAAAGCACAGCAAGACCCACTTTTAAGTTTGAATTATATTGCTGAATCAGCGTAAAAAGGAGCTAATTTTGAGTCGTATTGTTACCTGCAATGAGAAGTGAATGTAGCGATTGAAAGTGTTCATCACAATGGGTTTAATTGTAATAAAATAATTCAGGTTTATTGTCAAGATTTTCAAATGATGGTGCAAAAGCAGGCATTTAAACAACCTATGGACTGCTCTTCGCTATTTCTTCTTCATGATAAAGCTTGGCCACATAATGCAATTTTAAATTGAAATACAGATATTGGATGATTCTCTAGACGTTGCCCCAGAAAGACTTCCACTTTTATCACGCTTAGAATAATTTTTATAGACAAAAATTTAATTTCCAAAGAAGCAGTAAAGAGACAAGTGAATGCAGAACACAGACTAAAATGGAGCTCTTCACTATATTGTGGGGAGTCAAAATGTGTCACAAGCTGTGTTAGTGGCTAGTAAAAGTAAGTAAGTAAAATTAACGCTGTAGTACGTTCGTTAAGTATGTTAGGGCTTAGGGCCGACTATGAATGATTAGTCTAGGTATATTACGATTACGACGGACTATTTTCCGCAACTCTACGCCTAAGCGCGTATTTTGCTAGTGGGCAGGAATACCGTGACTATCCGAGCCACGAAATCGCTTCAAAGTTTAGCAATCCTGACTAAAATGATAGGATGAGATATTGTGTGATAAGACAAAATGTGATCACTACCAAGCTATTTCTATCTAATTTGTTTTATGTTGTTAATTGTGTTACGTATTTTAAATATTTTAAAATACGTTACACTTGGTAGTGATCACATTTTCTCCGTGTAAGCAGTTTTTTTTTTTCAAAAAAGAAATTCCACTGAGTTTCTTGTTAGTTCTTCCCAGGACAGAGGTTTTTTTTCGGAACTAGTGGTAAATTAAATACAAGAATGACTTTCAATAAGTATTATTTATAATCTATATTGAATAAAGAAGTTTTTTGGTTCTGTTTCAAAAGTGTGGTTTGCAAGATGTGACAAGGATTAAAAAAAAGGATTGCTTTTCGATTGGCTATTTCTCTGAGTTTTTTTTTTATAGAAGAGCCAAACGAGCATGCGGCTCACCTGATAAAAAGTGAAAAATCCGGAAAAATCTCCGGTGGTAAACGATTCCACACAGGGGTCGTACGGGGAAGAAAACTATGCGTTCGTGAAATTTGGCGGCTGAAATTAATCCGAACAATTCCTCAGAGCACTACCAGTGGTAGATGTGATAGAAAATGCAAAAAGATACAACATCTCTCCTCAACGCCAGTGTATCAAGCCGATCGGAGAGGATTTAGTCGTCGACGGTCCGAGCGGCTCTGAGCTGGATGCGGTTAAATGAAAGGAGCTGGCACTGGGGAGCCACGGCCACGAGGATGGAATCAGTATTTCATATGTGGCCGAACCTGCGTCTTGTAAAGTTGCAGGCGGTGTGCCGGCATGAAATAACGTGCCGCTGTGTTGAGCACATTAGCTTTTGGCCTTCTGTTCCAGGTGACCATGAAACTGCACATCCTTCGATATGTCGACGCTGAGGAGGTAACAAGGGAGTGCCGTGAAAATGAGGAGATACGACAAATGAGTTCTTTTTAGCGGTAAACGCGTATTGAATTGGACTAGATTTAGTCACCCCCAATCCCAGACTTTATTCAACAATGTCTCAACTTCAGACACAAGTTTGTTGTGGTACTTGGCAACGTTTTCGCGAGAAATGTTAGCACGTCCGGTGTATATAAAGCATCGACAGTGCTGTCGTCCGCATAGCAATGAATGTGACCGATATGCAACAGATCACTGATATGCAGAAGAAACAGCATTGGTGATAGCACGCAGCTTTGAGGAACACCAGCGTTAATAAGTTTGCAATCGGAGCATCCACCTTAGGGTGGATACTCGAAAACGCATGTCCGACTATCTACCCCAGACGGGGTGAATAATCGGAATTGTTATATTATTTTTCTTCCAATTATCCCCCTCGGCTGTGTACAGTCGTTTATAAAAACATGATAGAAACTGGCCCAAGATTACTTAATAGACATTAACATACTGATAAAAATACATACATTACTTCTTGCTAAAAGGTCAATACTGAAATACTTTAAATTGTTCCATTAGATATCATTCGATGTGACAT